ATGTCATAGATCGACTCAAGTCGTTGTTTGTAGTTTAAGTATTTTTATTTTGGTTTTTTTTTTAAATCTTTTTATTGAAAAATTAAATTATTTTTTTACGTAAAATAATATATTATTAAATATGTAATATTTGATATAGATATCGACTCGATCAAAATATAACGTTTTTAACGTTAAATTTAAATAACATTTCTAGTAATAGTATTAGAGTGCATTAAAAATAAAGAAGTAAATTAAAAAATTTTAAAATATAAGGGAGCAAAAAAAAAAATTTAAAAAAACTAATTTAAATATAAAAAAATATAATATATATTTGTATGTATGTACACGTCAAATTAAGGATGGGCCATGCTATAATTTTGATGCTAATCTTCTCTATTTTTCTTCAACAATATCAATGAACATAATATATATGGCCGGCAAATTTAAGATTAATATATTTACAAGTGTTCTTTTTCTCTTTGGCTAGCCAAATGAAGTATTATTTCGTTGTTTGAATTTAGGCTTTTTACTAGTTTTGTTGCCTCGAGCACCATCACTCTTCAATGTATATTTTTACTATGATATAGATTAATGAATTACACAGAATATAATTTACTATATTAGCTGTAAAATTGAAATTTTAACTTTATTAAATTCACTAACAAATTGAATTTATGAAAATATTGTTTAATTTCTTTTTCTTCCCTAAGTAATTCAAGATAATTTAAAATTCAAACTTGGAACATCTTTTTTGGACAATCATGAAATTTAAAAAAAAAAAAAAAAAAAAAACCCACAAACATGGATTGTTTAATTTGCTGTCTTAATAATTAGTTTGGAGGTAAATGAATTGTTTAATTTGTTAAATTTGTGTGTGTGTGTGTGTGTGTGTATAGAGGATAAGAATAAATATTATATAATAAAATTTTAATGTATATAAAATTTTTCATGGTTCCCGATAAATGAGAAGTCCATTAATGAAAAATTAAATCAAGGTATTAATCATGGAGATGTCACGTCCAAAAATTAGTTCCCATTTTAGTTTCTTTCTTTTCCATCTATCGAAATCCATCGGTTTGCAAATTGGACTGCAGTGAAAGACACAAATTAGACAAATAATACATGCCAAATCATAATCAGATTTATACTTTTTACCAGCTGCCAATTATCCCATGTGCTTTCCACGTACGAAAAGCACACACACTTTAGCCCTCTTGGCTTCATTTTTATTACTAGGAGACACCATATAACGTGGACGATTATATTTATATATATATATATATACATATATTGAACTCTCAACTATATTATTATTTAATTTTTTTTTTTTTAAAAAAAATATTGGATATGAATATTTTCTGGAACCACAAGTTGTACTTGACTTCATGTTTAATATCTTTTTGTGGTTGCAAAAGCATGCATAAAGGTCGAAAGTACAAAAATGTTTGTATTTCGTTTCTTTTTTTTACATCAAAACATTGTGCAATATTAATGTAAAAAGGGAGATATTTATTTTTCTTTTTCTTTCTCTTTCAAGGTTATTGTATTTTTCACTTGAAAGTTATTTGGTAAACCTATATTTAATTATTGAATATTAATACGTAGAATACCATGTGTATTTGTCTTATACGTGACAAACTTTTTTTTAGAGAATTTATTGAAAATCACTGAATAAGTAGGGAAGAAAGATCCTGCCAAAATAATGAAACCAAGGAAGTAAGAGACTCCAAAATATGGAAATGTCACAATTGGTTTGCACCAACCAACCCACAACCAGCCGGCCTGACTGACGATTCTAAATTATTTATGGTATTTTTGTTTGCCGTAAACTTTACGGTTGAAGATTTGTCACTTGCTGGGGTAAATCTATTTCATCATTTTTCTTTCTCTTTATATTCAATCTAAACTTTTTGTCTATAAAAATAATTTTAATTTAAAAATTATATATTAGATTATTTGGATGTACTACCAAGCAAAACTTTCTTCTCTCCAGTTTTTACTTCAAGAATACATAACAGATAAAAATTCTTTACTTCTGCTCGGGATAAAAGAAAGATAATTCACATAAAAACCAGGCAAAGAAAGATAATTCATTAACTCTACACTGGCGACAGAATTAGCCCATACAAACACGATAGAAACCAGGCAACTAATTTTCTGAATAGATAAAAAAAAAAAAAAAAAATTAGAACTTGTGAAATCAAACATGTATCAGAAGACCCAAATTATTTTTTACGTCAAAATTTTTGTCATAAGCCGTGCATACGATAGGATGAGAATACTCAAATTTAGGCCAACTACCAGCCAATACAGTGTTTGACGTCGTGACCTCAGAGGATGACGCTTAAAATTATTACTATTATTGTTGGGTATGTTGAGCATCTATGTAATAACGGTTGGTGCAGATCGGCCCGTGAACTCCTGCATCTTAGAAAGCTGGAGTGCAACCTCCACCTGTAACAAACGGAATAAAATTAGTGGAATTTTTATTAATACGATAGATAGAATGATTAAGGTAAAATTTAGACATATCTTACAAGAGGAGCAAGTGCTTCTTGAGAATCTCTCCCTGTTTTTGATGGATCCTTCTCATACTGTTCAATGTAGAGACGGATAGTTGCACCTTCAGAACCAGTTCCTGATAAACGGAAAACCTGCAAGGAGTTACGGAAGAGAGAGACAAGCTTCCAGTTAACTTCCAAGGAAATATCAGAACGTACAAAAGATTTCAAATGTTCTAAACAATCCTCAAATTAAAATCTTGGTTAATAATTTGTATATCTACTGTTAATGCACACCCATGCATAATAGAAAAACGCCTTTTTTTTTACTTATTCTTTTATTGTAAGCCTTACATGGTTCCCTAAGCTATCCAGATCAAAATCAGGGTGTAAAGGTTCCGGCAAGGAGCAGGAGTGGCATTAAGCTATACACTCACTGTTCTGGTCATTATTTTTTTTTTGTCATGCATGAAGTGTGCCCTATCTCCCTCCCATTAACTAATTCAGCTAACCATGAACACCTTCCCAAGTCACATCCTTGACAAAGAACTTGTTTTGATAGATTTACAAGCAGCAGCAAGTGCAAGAGAGAAGAAGACTCACCAATCGTGAGCCATCCTCAAAGAGATATCGAATGCCCTGGTGCTTTGATACAGAACCATCAACTGGATCTTTGTATTCAAATTCATCCGCAGCAGCAACATTTGATACATCAGAGCATATTCCCTTCACGATCCTGTATGATTAATGAATGAGTACCCCAGAAGATAATATAGAAGTTACATATGAAAAATCTCAGCTCACAGAACTGCAACACCCGGTGTCTAACTCTTATAAATTTGAAAACCACTCAAGATACCAGATCAGATCCCCTACCTCAAAACATGCATGGAGAAGAAACCAAAACGAATTTAAAAGAAGTCAGCAAAGAAACATACTGATTAACTTCAGGAAGTGTGGACTGCAACTTGACCAAATATGCCATCAATTCCTTTGCTGCAGCCGCATCCACATTCTTCAATAACAATTTTGGATCAGTTAAGAATTGAAAACTTAAGACTCTGTTCGATAGATGAAAAAATTTTATAATTTTTATTTTTTAAGTTTATATGTTTTTATTCATGTCTATATTTGACGAAGCATGTGAAAATTACAAATTTGTAAAATAATCAAAGTACAAACAGAACTTTTTAGAAAATACAAAAAGAAATATTTTAAAATGATCTAATTTCGTAATTTTTACTATTATTGCGTTTATTGTTCTTTTAAAATAATGTTATTGCCTTTATCGTTAACTTTCTATGATTATGTGAATGAAAATATATATGAATTTTTAGAAAATAAAAACTAGAAAATAGTTTCATGTATGAAACAGAACCTAATTTTCTAGAGACAGCCCAAAAAACCAAGAAAAAAATAATGTCATACCTCATAGTCATATCGAGTATAATAGTGACGACCATAAGCAGCCCAGTGTTGGCGGACTATGTCTTCAACGCTCACAAGCTTTCTCCCATCAAGGTTATCCTTATTCTTATAAGCAAGTATAGACAGCCATGCAAGAACTGCCCAGATTCCATCCTTTTCACGGATATGGTCCGAGCCTGTCCAAGTACCAAATTTATAACAGCTTTCAGTAAATCTCACATACAGCAAATGCTGATTCGCTTTAAATATAATAATCATGACTACCAACCTGTTCCAAAACTTTCTTCCCCACAGATTGAACACAATCCAGCATCCATTAAATTACCAAAAAATTTCCAGCCAGTGGGAACCTATCATTCGATGAAAAAATTCCAATTATATTCTCCCAATTGGGTGGTATAACAAAACTAAGATAAAAATTTGTGCACTAGAGTACCTCAAAAAATTTCAAATTCAAGTTCTTGGCCACAACATCAAGAGCAGCTGAGGTTGGCATACTCCTATACATCAGCTTGAAAATATGAGATTTTGTTACAAAAACAAAATCAGAAAATTATATGAAGGTAGATACAATCCCTATTTTTCCACATTTCTATTTTTCCACATTTCTAAGAAAAACTGTTTGCATGGATACTCATGCCAATTTTAGAAGAATAAAGGCAATAAATTAATGATTGGTTGTATTTTCTGCATCGTGAGATGCTGCACCTGTCAGTTTGAATGCATGAAGTTCACAAGGATCTTAGTCTTGAAAGAAAATGAGAAGCTGGGTGGCACCTCATATAGCATAAACAGGAGGCAAGTTAAAACAAATGCATGCACTCAAAGGAGTAAGTAGAAAGACACCTGGCAACGCCCTTTAGACCCGCAGAAAAATAGGGAATTGCATCAACTGCATTTGCAGCAATTATGGCAACCGAGTCTGATGGAGTAACAAAGAACCTATAAAAAAGTACACAAGTTTTGGTGCAATCATGACAATTTCACATCATAATCAGGACTCTAGTAAAACTACGACTGAGGCTACCTTTTACCGAGAATCATGTTACGGTCTGCATCACCATCAGCAGCAGCACCAAACTCCGGTGGCTCAAACCCAGAATCTGATTTACCCAGTCCCATACGAGCAACCAACTCCTTTGCATAAGTCAGATTGGGATCTGGATGCCCTCCCCCGAAGTCCTCCTGTTTTACATAAAGTCATAAATAACAAGAGCAAAAGCATACCACCAAGATACAAAATATCAGCAATACAAATTAGAAACAAAATGACATCAATAAACTGGGAAAGACCTTGGGAGTGCAGTTCAATAATGAACTTTCTTGGGCACCAAGCTCTTCCACAAAGATACATTTTGCGTAAGCTCCAGCAACTCCATGTAAAGCATCATAGCTTAACACAACAACAGATAATATTCAATATACAAAGAAGCTATGTGAATATGCCACAAATTAGCATTCTTCAAAGCGAAGAAACTAGAGGCAAGCTACATACCAGAAAGTAAACTTCGGAGATGAAAGCAACTTTCGGATAGACTCGAAATCAAAAATTGACCTAAAGCAGTTGAGAGGGAAAAATTAATTGTTACTAAACGTTAATCACCAATGAAAAAGATATTTTATAGGATGCAGAAGATCTTCTTTTGAGCCAACTAAACTATATGTTTCCACAAACCAAATGGTATTTCACTCAAAATGAACAGGGTAACCAACTATCATGCTTCAACCATCTTATAAGAATACACCTTGAGAAACATAAAATTTGTGCCGCTTCATGTTTTTCAGAGTCTTCAATGCATAACTAATCTCAATCAAAAAAATATATTACCTACAAAGCAAATTAAATGAATCCAGTAATGCAATAAGAAAGTACATGCCATAAAAAACCAATGCACAAAAATACATATATGTGCATCTTTTAAACACACAGAATTCCATCTCTAACAAAATTAGCACTTATCAAATACTAAAACTGTACACAAGAGATTATGTATATAGGACGTGTAAGTATCCATATATTTATGCTGGTACAAAAACAAATAAAAAGCTAGACTCCTTTGAATAAAAAGTTTTAGCAATACAAAGACGGTTCCTCATGCATTTTATTGAAAATTAAAAAAAAATAATAAAGATAACAATACTATGATTAAGTCAACAACATATTATGAAATGTGCCAAACCATGTGAGCTACTGACAACCTATTATTCCAATACAAAGTAAGGAAGCCTGGTTAGAGGAGAAAAGGCAAATAGGTAGTATGTAAGATAAGCAATAAATTGAGAAGAAAGTGGGAGTCAAAAAAATGGGTTAAAGTTGCACTTTAGATCCTTATTCTGCACTAATCCAGAATGCTAGCATATGCTATCAAAGAAAAAGATAAAATATGAAATATAAGAAAAGATAGTAGCAAAAAAGGAGGTAAGTAGACAAGCCATTTCAACATAGGGCTGACTGAATACACACAGAACCCAAAAGAAAAAGCTTACTTCATCAGTTTCACATAGTCATTTGCGGAGTCAAAAACATCAACATCAAATTGTCCCTCTGGGCCTGAAAACGTTGTTACCCCTGTAGTGGTGATATCCACCTTTGGTGCATATCACAAAATCAAACAACAATAATAAGAGCAAGAATGCAAGGGAAGGAAAGAAAAGCAAGGCATATAGTGCATAGGATGCAAGACGTACATCTGGAAGATCTTCTGCAATTAAGTATTCCTTTATTGTTTTTGTGTTCTCATATATCTTATCAGTGATTGCCTCTGGAGCAGGTCCACCATTTTCCATGTTATATTTAATTCCAAAATCCTGCATTGAGAATTTTTTTTTAAAAAGCATTATTTATACCAAATACAGTATCTAATATTTGTGTGCGTGTGTGTGTAAAACAAAATGGCTATGAATGAGAATGCGATAACAAGCTTCCCAAAATAAAGACAAGTACCATCAATTAATTAACAGAAACTGATTAATTTGAATATTATAATGAATTAAAACATTAATCGAAACATTAAACTAAAACTAATCAATTTAAATATTAATTCTATTATTTTATTTTTTGAAATACATATTTCTTTTTCTTTTTTGATAAATTATATTATCTTCCCTATTTGGAGTATTTAAAAAGATTGGGAGAAAATACACCATATTGGTACTTTTCTAGATTTTATTCAAAGCTAATCGAAACATAATTAATTTTTTAGGGAAAAAAAATAACTAAACCCAATATTTATCCTTTAAGATAGATGATGACAAAGGAGCGTGTTGGTTATCTTAGAACTGGCTCCTAATAACAGCTTTGCACCATTAGATACACTGTCACAAAATAATTTGAAAATACTATATTTCAAAAAAATAATAATACTTTGAGCACACTCAAACTGCCTATTTATTCATCTTGTTTGTGTGAACGTAAATCATCATCGAGCAAAAATACCAACATAGAAACATGTATAGATGATAATGACGAAGAATTTCAACATGCATGCAGATAGCATCATACCTAATAGATGATAACGATAATGATAATGATGAAGAAGTTCAGCAATGCACGCAGAAAGCATCAAACCTAACTATAATAAAATTAAATGATATATTTACACTTTCCATTAGTTGTTGAATCTTGACTATTTACAATTTTTTTTAACACATTATTTTCTCATATACTATACTAAACACAATGTGTATTATACTATAATAAAATTAATCACATGTATAATCATCGATAAAGAGCAAATTTGAAATGCACAAAAGTTGTCAAAAGGATTATATACATAGACATGGATTATAAGGAACATAAAACCTAGCTATTTCGATTGCCCAAAAAGTAAAGTAAAAGAAAATTTATTGTCTTAATTCAATCCAGAGTGCTTGTTCTAAGCATAAATGTTCGATAACATGCAGTTACTTCATTTTCTGCTTTCAAAACTATTCTCTGCTTTCAAAACTATTATACATAAAAGATGCCCTTCATACAAGGAAGAGATATTATTAAGAAAAATATTCCCAGCCTCATTTATAAAGAAGCCACATGCACATATCTTTATTCATTACTGCTATCAATCCTTCAAGCTAATTTAAATCCACAATTCCATCATCCATTTTAAGTAGGAACGAGGTAGCAGGAAATCATAACCACGGATTATCCAAGATAAGGAAACAAAAAGTCAACAATCATAAACATAAACATAACAAGGACCCACCTCAGTAGGACCACCAGGGTTGTGACTAGCTGTCAATATAAAAGCTCCTGTTGCTCTGGATCCCTGAAATTGAAGTTTACAAGTGAACTTAATACTTTCGTCCTATTGCCATAACTCCATACAATTATTTACAAAAAAAAATAAATATCATTAGCAAGATGAAATAGAAGTACATCATTGGAGCAGCAGTGGACCAGAAATTCGTTAAAGAGAGGTGAGAGAGTAGTATTGATATCAATAAATACATGAGTGTGCCAGGTCGAACCCCCTGCTGTAGAGGAAATTTTAATTGTACTAAGTTTTATATAAAATTCTCACATGGTAAATTACAATTGCATCTCACATGACTTTAATTAATTTACATAAAATTGTATGTTCTTTATTTCTTATTCATTTATTTATTTATTATCATAAATAAACAATACTTATATCCACTTGCATTATACTTATAAATAAATACATAATACAATATATTTATTTATAATATTTTAGTTTATATTGTTAAATCAATTTTTTATGATACGTAATTTTAGATCATTATAGAATAAATATAAATATAAATATAAATATAAAGTAGTTTCTAAATAAAAATTTAGACGGGCTATACTTTTTTGAGATTTTTCTTTTGAGGGGGGGGGAGAGGGGATTGGGCGGCAGGGGCATGGCTCCCTCTAGGTCCCCTGGTTCTGCCTATGATTCGAGGATAAGAGGTCCTCCTAAAACAAAGTAAAGAAAGAAATAAAAGGAAAAGCAAACATAAATAATAATTCCACATCATATTAGTGACCAACTTCCCAAAAAAGAATAACTAGAAAAGAAGAAAATGGTTTAGTGTGTGTACTTTGATATTAAACCAAAAAACTCACATCTGCAGCAACTCTTCCCCGAATTACAGCTGATACAGCAGGAGTTGACAGCAATCCGTTTTGGCCAACCCAGACACGTCTTACCCCATTTGCAGCCGCCATCTTAATAATAATCTGCCAATTTACCAAGCACATTTGAAGCAGATATGATCTTTTTTATTATACACTGTAAGAATTTCAGAAAAGTAAGAGGGCACTACACCCCCCCATGGGCTGTCAACAGGAACTTTTACTATCTCAATACTCAGAGGAAAATGTCTAACTCATTTCAAGCATGAAACAGGCAAAAACCTCAGTCTTTAAAGCCCTGGGTCACTACTACTAAATATAATCTG